ATCAGACATTGCTAGAGCGGTTTTTAGTACAGTAGTCCCCCCTCCTCCCCGCCTTATCCTTGGGGGATAAGTTCCAAGACCCCAGTAGGTGCCCGAAACCCCAGATAGTACTGAACTCTATATAGGGTATCCCCCAAAAAATGTATACACACTTTGAATTATTATAAAATCAGTGTTTATTAACATATAGTTCATTTTCAAAATTTAAAAGAATCTGCAGAAATGAATAATTTTTTGTCCATGTCTGAATTCAAACTGATGACCAGTCTGGTCCAGGCACTGCTGATAACATGAAGAGGTGGAATCGCAAACATAAAAAATCATTTCATTTTGCATTTGTGTTCCCTCAATTCTTCAACTGTTGCTGGTTTTGTACCATAAACTTTATCTTTTATGTATCCCCATTAAAAAAAAATGTCTGGTTTTTTCTTTGTTCAAAGCTTAGTCTGGCTTCACCCATTATTTCAAATCAGTTAAACCTGAAAAGGAGTGAGAATTGAGTTATCAGCTGTTAAAGTGTGTATACATTTTTAGGGACACCCTATATATACTGTCTTTTCCTATACATTAGATACCTATAATAAAGTTTAAATTTTAAAATAGGCACAGTAAGAGAGTAATAATAATAACTAATAATAAAATAGAACAATTATACTAATATACTGTAATAAAAGTTATGTGAATGGCTTTGGGGCCATTATTAGGTAAAATAAGTGCTACTTGAACACTAGCAGTGCATCTGATAACCAAGGCAGCTACAAAGTGACTAACAGTCGTGAATATGCCGGACAAAGAGTTGATTCACGTCCCGGGCAGGACGGAGCCTGACAGCGTGAGATTTTATCATGCTACTAAGAACAGCACACTATTTAAAACTTATGAATTGTTTATTTTTGGAATTTTCTACTTCATATATTTGGACTGTGGGTAATTAAACCTCGGGAAGCAAGGGGTGATTACTGTATCTCAGTTGATTCTTGTGAGGAACTGTTAAGAACCAAAAGAAAACTCTTTGTAAAGAGCATAACATGATTCAAATATATGACTATTTTTATCTTGTCATCCTTTAGACCAGTGCTGTCTAGTAGGAATATAATGTGATCTACATAGATAACTTTACAATTTCTAGTAGGCACATAAAAAGTTAACCAAAAAAAAGCTTTAAAGACATTTGCAAGTTATGGGGCACTTCCGGCATTCTCTCCTCAGAGCCTATGGAAGCACTTTAGGCAGGGAACTATTTCAGCAACTGGCAACCAAAATAATGTGTCTGACTGGACATCCCTCATTTCCTTTGACAAAGCCCAAAAATCTGGACCCACCCGACACCAGCAAATAACCCCCTTCCTCTTCAGTCACCAACCCTATTTCAGGACTCTCAGATACAAACTTGTATTTGTTGAACCTGGACTAAACACTTTACATTCACTATCTCCTTTAATTCTCACAATAATCCTATCAGCTAGTTATTGTGTTTATTTTACAGATAAAAAAAACTGATGCTTAAGTTAAGAAAGTAGTTTGCCAAATTTCAAATCTAGGTCTGTCACACTTCAAAATTCTCCAGGGGCCTAATTCCTAGTCATCTGGCAGAATTTCCAATTCTGCATGCACAAGAGGGTAGGAAATTGCAAGAAATGTTGATCAAGGACTTCAAAAAAAATGGGGTTACCCAAGAAAAGGAGAAGAGGGACAAATCCAGACTTCTTGTCCTGGCTCAGATAGCCACATGTCAGTCACCTGGGCCTCCCTCCCTCTCCAGGATCCCCTCATACCACCCTTGCTTTCCAGAATCTTCCAGCCACATGGGCCTCTGTTAACTAGCTGCTTTTCACTGCCTCATAGATCCTGGTGATTATTTGCCGTTGTGCATCCTCCTCACTCAAGTTCAGGCTTCATGAGAGCAGGAAGATTATCTGTCTTGTCCACTATTGTATTCTCAGGGCCCAAAATCTGGACCGTGCCTGGCATGTAGTAGATTGAATGAATGAATGAATGATTGAGGAACAAGTGAGCTAGATGGGATTATTCTGAAGTGAGTACACTATCAAGAAGTGACGCCCAGCCAGTGTGGCTCAGAGGTTGAGCATCAGCCTATGAATCAGGAGGTCACAGTTTGATTCCTGGTCAAGGCACATGCCCTGGTTGTGGGGGCTCGATCCCCAGTAGGTGGGCGTGCAGGGGACAGCCGATCAATGATTCTCTCTCATCACTGATTTTTCTATCTCCCTCTCCTTTCCTCTCTGAAATTGATAAAAACATATTTTTTTAAAAGTGGCTATTGGGTCGCACAGGGTTCTTACTAGTTGGAGTGGGCTCTTTGTGATCTGAAATGTAGTCTTGGGTTTCCCATTGGTGGCAGAGAATGACTTTGGAGCCCCCAGTTCTCAGGGCCTCTGAAATAGGGTCATACCTCTTGTTTCTGGAGTCTCTATGTAACTGCACCCTCCTGCCCCCTTCACCACCACCATTAAGCAGTGGCCTCAGACTTAGTGCATAGTGTTGCACCAGGACTCATGTGCAACAAGGTAGTAGAGTGATCACCACCTCTTCTCAGCAGGTATCACCCCCACCCTCACCCTGGCTTGTTGGGAGGGAGGTGGCCCATGGAGGGGGTGGTTAGTGGGCCCCCTGTCTCCGAACTGCAATGAAGGTCAGCACTCTCTAACCTGAGAAGAGCTTTCTGTTTCCCTGGTTCACAAGAAGAGGGAGGAGACTAGTTGGAGATCACCAGTTGACCAAGAGGTTAGATCCCTGTATGTCAGCCTAACCTTAGAGCAAAGCCATCTGTGAAGATGTGTTCAGTTAGTAACCAGTCATGAGCTATACACTCACAATATGTGCACTTTCCTATATGTATGTTATATTTTTATTGTTTATTTTTTAAACCCACATACCTGGACCCACTCTCACAGGTTCTGTTTCATTATGTCTAGGATATTTCCTAGGCACTTACATAATTTTTAAAGCTCTCCATATGATTCTTATTGGCATGTAGGGTTAAGAACTATTGATAAGCAGTGACTGAGGACTCAGGAAGGTGGGGGTGTGGGTAAGGGGGAAGGATGCTGAGGCAGGATTTCAATCCCATTTAGAATTATGAAGTTCCAGAAAGCCCAACAGATTGATAGGTTGATATACATAAAACCTCTGGATGTCCAAAAGAAAACCATTATAAAATATAAGAAGCAGGTAATTGGAGGGAAATGTAGCAAAAGCTTCGTAGCCTTAATATGTATACAGAACTCTTACAGATCAATAAGGTGAGCACCCAATAGAAAAATGGAGTGCGGGCAAGAACAGACAATTCACAAAGAAGAAATACAATGGGCCGATACACTTAGGAAAAGTGGTCAGCCTCACTAGGAATCAAATAAATGCAAATTAAAACAACAGAGACGTTATCTTTTGCCTAGCTAATTGGTGAAGATTAAATACATGATAATACCTCATGTTGGTGAGGGTGTGGAAAAAAACAGGCACTGTCATTCACTGGTGGGAGTACAGATTGATGCAACCTTTCCAGAAGGTAATTTGGCAACCGTAAAGCTGAGGAAGATTGCAAACCTTTGTGACGCAGCAATTCCACTTTTAGGAAGATTGCCTTAGGAAATGATTGTGGATAATAATAACAATAATAGCTAACCTTTATTAAATGCTCGGTGCATGCCAAGCTCCACACGCATTATCTCATATAATCCTCACAGCCGTCATCCCACAGGGTGAGCTGTTATCACCTGTACTTTACAGACAAGGAAATTGAGGTGCAAACGGATTAATTAAGTCAATGACCAGAGGACACAAAACTAACAAGTAGCAAAGCCTGGATTTGAACCCAGGCAGTCTGAGTCAAGAGCCATACTACCTGTACAGCAGTGTACACTGGGTGTGTGCATTGGATATATAATGTATACAGTGGGCAAAGGTGCAAGGATGTTCCTCTGGGCTTGTTTGTAATGGGGAAGAAAGGAAGGGGAGAAAACCTGCTAACTACCCCATGGTAGGAATTGGTCACATAGATTGTGATATACTCGTACTGGAATATTATGCAACCATGAAAAATGATGCTATAGAAAAAAGGTGTGAGGTCAATGGAGGAAAAAGGAGACTCATGTAATACTTTAAACAATAAAGAATTTAAATTAATAAAAGAAAAAAAAGTATGTGAATACTAGGGTTTTTTGTATATGTATGTTACTAATGATTCCATTTTGTTTAAAATGTGTGTGTTTTGTATATGCATAAAGATCTGTGAAAGGACATAAAAGGAATTGACAAAATTGGCTGCCTTTTAGAAACATTGTATGGCTGTGGTGAGAAGTTAGAGAGAGACTTGTTGTTTCAAGCCATATATCCTTTTTCACTTCTTGAATTTTGAATCGTGTGAATATATTATCTATTAAAATGACTTGGCCTGACCTTCTCCTTCTATCCCCAGCCCTTAACTCTTAGCTGAATTGGCTCATCCCTCAGTCTGAGTTGGGGTAGCTCCTCTGGGCTTCAGCACCTTCATGCCTCCCTGAGCCATGCTGTGTGTCAATGCCGGGTGACAGCTCCCCTGAGAGAAGGGGCTGTCTGTCATCTTGGTCTGCCTGGGTCGCCTGGGACAGAAGTTAGATCATGAACACTGAAGTCAAGGAGACCTGGGTTTAAATCCCAGTTCCATCACCTTGAGGAAGTGACTTCACCATCCTGTGCCTCAGTTTTCCCATCTATAAATGGGTTTAATCACTGCAGTGAACTTGTCAGGTTATTGTCATAAGATAATGTATGTAGAGCTCCCAGTACCATTCCAAGCACAAGGGAAACTCTCTCCAGGTAATAGCCACACGGCATCATTGCAGACCCTCTGTGAATGCTTGTTGAATTGAACGAGGAAATGACACCTGGAGGAGCAACTCCCCAGGCCCAGCCCAAGGACAGTGGCCCTTCCTCCACTGCTCATGCTTGGCACTGCCCCATCATTGCCATGCTCACCTCCCTGCCTTGTGCCCCCACAGCCACCCGGCCCAAGCTGAAGAAGATGAAGAGTCAGACGGGACAGGTGGGGGAGAAACAATCGCTGAAGTGTGAGGCAGTGGCCGGTAACCCCCTGCCCTCCTACCGCTGGTTCAAGGATGGCAAGGAGCTCAACCGCAGCCGCGACATTCGCATCAAGTACGGTAATGGCAGGTGAGCAGCAGCCATCCCTCCCTCCTGGCATCTTCCCTCCTGAGAAGGAGGGTCCTGAGCTGGCAGAACCGAGGGCTGTGTCCCCAGACTCACCTGTAGATCAAATTCCTCACCCCCTTCCTTGCCACCCCCAATTTCTCCTTGCAACCCTGGGCTCCTCTGGTTATGTTGGCCCAGTGTCTTCAGACGATAGATGCTTAATTAATGTCTCTGGATGGTTGAAGGCAATTTGATTGTCAGTCAGCTTTGCCTGTGGAAGTCCACTCTTGTCCTAGAACTTCTCAAAGGACCTGCCACCGTGTCTGAAAGCCCAGCATTTGGCAATCCTTGGGGGGAAACCGCTTGCAGAATGCATCTGGGAGGTCATGTGTGGTGATGGGCTGGTTTCTCAGCTCAGCAAGCTGTACTGGGCAGAGAGCTAGATAAGGGGAAGGGCACATGGCTTTGACTAGTGTTGGGCGAGTCCGTGTCTCAGACAGACCCCCCTATGACATAGGATTGTCTTTAATCTGGAGTCAGCGCTCCAGGGAAGTGAATCAGCAGCTCAGGAGCCTCCAGCTGTGGGCGATGGCCTCTCTTCCATCTTGGGTTGGTCGAGCGGGGGCTTCGGGCACCAGAGAAGCCAGGAGTCCAAGGGCAGCTCCTCACCTCTCTCCTGCCTCTCACAGCCCCCGACAGACTGTTGGATGGCAGAACAAGCAAAAGGGGAAGCCCCCCTCTGCCTGCTAAACAGAAGTTCTGCTTGACCTCTGTTCTGTTGGCCCTGATGGCCAAGTGGACTTCCCTCTCTAGCCGAGAGCACCCTAGTCTTTCCTGCCCCTCCAGAGTATATTACAACCACCCGCTCCCTGGCTATCCTCTTCCTCCTCACTGCCCCCCAAATGCAAACAAGGATGATTTTAGAGGACCCCAACCTGCCCTACAACAGAAAGTGATGGAGGGCCAGCGCTCAGGCTGCTCCTGGGTTGCTATGTGGCCCTAGCTGTGCACATTCTGCCCCTTGGCCTCAGTCTCCAATATGTGAAAGAGGGTGTGGGGGTAAGGAATCTGGGAGGCACTTCAGTTTTCTGACTGTCCTTTCAGGAGTGGGGAGCAGAGGCAAATTGGTCACCTGGAAAGTGGTCCAGGTGAAATTGGAATTTATGAAGAGTTTGATTTAGAGCAGTGATTCCCAACCTTTTATGGCCATGCCCCAACTGAGCATCTCTAAAACCCTGATGCCCCCCATGACATATAATTCTTATTATTCAAAAAGTGAACTCCTTTTCATGTGGAGGAAGCCTAAAAAGGCCATTAACTTGGTCTAAACAAACTTCCATAGAACATGGCATCCATGAAAGAGAAAAATAAAAGAACGAAAGGACAGTTGAAGTACTGAGGAAGAAATCACTAAGAAATTGTTTTAAAAAATAATAATATGAAGTGATATGAAAAATAGCAAACAAAGTTTCAAAATATATAATAGAGAACTGAAATGCATAAATATGTCAGAATATATATTTATACTAGAGGCCCGATGCACGAAATTAGTGCAAGGGGCTCGTCCCCCGCCCACTGCTGCCTCTGCCTCACCCTGCCACCATGGCTTCATCCAGAAGGTTTTCTGGAAGGACATCCAATCTAATTAGCATATTTTGCTTTTATTATTACTATATAGGAGACCCCTAGAACCATAAGAAATGCAAAAAATTCAGTTAATAACTCATTCTTGAATTGCCCCCCTTAAAAATCAAATTACCACCCTGTGGGGCGTGTGCCCCATGTTGGGAACCACTGGTTTAGATCAAAGGTTTGTGGCTGAAAGAATGCTGCATCCTAAGGAAATTGGGGAGAAGGTCTTGTGTGTCCCCAATCTACATATTTAGCAAGAAACTCAGGTTGCCCACCAGGCTCACCTTCTGAGGCCACCCCACCCCTTCCCACTGCCCAAGACTGGCTCCAAGCTGGAGAAAGGAATGGACAGGCTTCTGGGATTGTTGGGGCTCCAGTCCCCTCTTTCTGGGAGGTCAGAGCGAACACTCTTTCCGGACCTCTGCGTCTCAGTGAAGGAGGGGAGAGGCCATCTCCAGAAAGAAAACAGAAGCAGGAGAGAAGGGTGTCCCTTGTATCCCCATTACTCTGAAACATGTCCACAACTTGGCCATCCTCATCCCCCCATTCCTGATCCCATGTCACATTCACACCCACCCACACACACGAGCACGCACACCCTCAGAGCCCCTGTGCCACCAACAAGATCCTTTCTCTGGTGACTTCAGCCTTTCTCTCTCTCCTTACAAGCCCACTCACATCGCTTCCCTCCCCGTTGCTTGCCTCTTCCTCCTCCAGCTGTTGCCCCATCTTGCTTCTTCCCTCCACCACCACACGGAGTCAGTTTCAAGCCCACTGACTCCACTCTCCTGTCCTCCACTCCTCTCGGCTCCACTAGACTCTGCCCAGTAAATACCCCCCCCCATCCCTATGGCTGTAGCTCTTGGCAGACCCAGCGACTTCAGAGCTTCCTGGCCCTGCGCCTCCAGGCCTGTCAGCAGTCGTTGACGTGGGTGCCACCTGCTCCCGTGCCCCTGTGGCTCTGCACCTCTTAACCAGCCTCTTAGTCACCATCAGTGCTGGAACTTTCCTGTCTTTTGAGCTTCACTCTCCTCCCTCCCTCTCCACCTGTGAGTGTTTGCACCCTCTCATATCTGATGGCCCCAGGCCTCCATCTCCAGTTTGATGGCTTTTTTTAAAACCCGAGTTCCAGACCCATGCTGCCAGCTAAACACTAAATACCACCCCTGAGATACTCCACAGGCATCTCTAGTCCAGAGTGCCTCAGTCTGGCCTCTCCCTCCTGCCCGCTCTGGCCCTGCCTCACCCTCCCGTGCTCCCCTCTCAGCTGTGGCAGAAGCAGATGTCTGTTGCTCGGCACTGCCCCCATGCCATCCCCTGCAGTTGGGTACCACTTCTCCAGAAGGAAGCACCCTTCTCCCTGCCTCGCAAGCTTCTTATCTGGTCTCCTAGCTTTTAGCCTCTTCTCCTCCACTGTCCCACTCTTGGCTATCCCCACCCTTTCTGGTGATAGGCCCTTTGTGGATTCATTTCTGTATCTAACATAGCATCAACTGTGTGCCAGGCGCTCTGCCAGAGGCTGGAGAAACACCAGGGAATGGAACTGGCATGGTCCCGACCTTCACAGAGTTTCTAGTCTAGCCTCTAGTGTAGAATGTAGGTAAAGGCCTCCACCCTTTCTTCAGAAGAAGTGTATCTCATCCACCCAATTTTGCTTACTATTCTAGACGTCTAGAGTCACCAACTCCCAGGACTCTGACAGGGGATGATGATCTTTCTAACATGGGCACATATCCGATCTTCATTCATTTACTTGACAGATCTTGAGTGCCTGCTGTATGCCAGGTACAGCCCAGGCCTTGGGGCCCTTCCGACTCTTTTCTTCCTGGCCTCTAAGTCACTGCCCCGCTGTTCCCAACACCTCAGTGCTCCCGATCTCTGCTCTTTCCTTTCATGACCCTGGACTTGGGCTCAGGCTGTTCCCCATACTGGCAGCAGACCCCCCCCCCCACACACACACACACACTGTCCCTGGAAAAGTTCTCCAAGGCCCAGCTTAAATGTCATAGCCTCTGGGACATCTTCTTGAGTCCTCCAGGCAACTCTCGTCACCTCCTGTCATAATGCCTCAAACACAGTTCCATTGCATTGTTGGGGGGATGTCTCTCTTTCTAAAATGAGAGGGCTCCCCATACCCATCTCCCCTGCATGGCCTGGCAGAGGGTGACAGTAGGACTGGACAGGTCGCCCTTTGGGTTGACCTGGACTTTGAGCACTTCAGCATCCTGGTCAAGCCTCCGTTTCACCTAAAAATTAGGTCAGCCAGTCAAGAAACAGGGCCTGGTCAGGCCTTCTCCTGGGTATCGGAGACCCCTGAGAGCCTGAAGTGTGCCCCTGTCCCCTTCCTGTCAGGGACCCATTCTAGCTGCTGCCTTTCTGAAATGTCCTAGCTCCACCCACCCTGCCCCTGGGCTCCCAGCAGTGAGAGGGTGGAGTGAAGGAGTGGGCCATAATCGGGAACTTCTGATTCCGCGTTGTGACTCAGAGAGCTGCCACCTCCACTCACACTTCCCCTGGCATGGGGGCAGGGGCAGGGTCTCCTGGCTGGCAGCATCCTCTTTCCTTCTGCCCACACTGCAGCTTGCTCTCTGGCCCCCTATCACACCTCTGCCCAGGCCACACTCTGTCTTGACATTGGTCTTGGCCTTGCAGAGACCCCCTCCCTGGCAGGTGCTATCTGCCTCAGGGGCTGCCGCAGGAGGTATCTCACCCAAGCCTTCCTGCGCCTGGAGAACACTGGCCCCCCAAGCCCTGGGCACCGGCCCTCCCCTGCAGAACCGGGCCCTCCCCTGCAGAACCATGAGTTCCCTTATTTATGAGGGGCAGGCTGGGACAGGCCCCTCAGGCAAGCAGAGGGAGGTAGGCGCTGGGGAAAATGTGTGAGTAGAGGACGTGGCAGCCCAAATCCCATCCCTGCCAACAAAAGACTGGCTGAGAAAGGAAGGGAGGGGCATCCATCACAGGGGCAGGCCTGAGGCAAGGTGGCAAGGGGGCGCCAGGCCTGCCCGGGGGTGGGAGAGGGTCCTGAGTCCTAAGTCCTTGCAGCTAGGAGTGAGGAGAGAACCTAGTGTGTGTTATTCCTAACCCCCTCGTTCCTCAGGGCCAGGGAGACCCACAGAGCCCACCTTCAGTTCTGACCCCAGGACCTCTTTCGAAAGCCTGGGGCCCACCTCCCTGGAACTGGCAATATCATCACGCAGCTGGTACATGTAGGGGTCCTTCTTTTTGCCCCCTTGCCTCTTTCTGGTTTCTCAAAGGGGAGTGGCTCTCCCTGGGCCCCCCACTCCTTTCCCCACTTTCCCCAGGTTTCACTTTCATGTGGAAGCTCTTCTTTCCTGTTTGAGCCTTAATCCCTCCAGACATCTGTGACCTGGCTCTGCCTTGTCCTGCTACATATGGTGTCATATAAGGGAGGTCCTTTGAGTTCAGCTGTGGGTGACAAGGAGGCTCTGGCTCTGGGTCTGCTCTGCCGTGACCCTGTGACCCTCAGGCGATCCCCCCTTTTGCTTGTCTAGTGTCAGGGAAGATCTGGTGGCTGGGGAGCCTGGTCCTGAGGCAGCTGGGCTTCCTGGCATGTAATTAGGCTGAAGCCAGGAAGGAGATGCTGTCTTAGCCAGAGGGGCCTCCCAGGCTCTGTTTAATGAAGGGAACAAACTTGAATTGACAGAAGAGGGTTGTAGGCAGACACCAGGCCAAGGAGACACAGACTGACTTGAGCTGGCAAAAATTGGGTGGGGTGGAAGGGTAGTGGGAGGGTCAGGCAGCTGTCACTGTAACATCAATAAGGATATTGCCATAGCAACAGGGCCTACCAATAAGACAACCTCACAAATCCTTGTTTGGGGAATCTTGGAGTGAGGACGTCTGGGAAGAGGCCCACACCCAGAGGCAGAGGTGGAGCCCAGGAGACTGGTGCCCACAGCACAGCCCTGGTAGAGATATGGGTCCGTTTTCCATCTCCTTGGGCCTGACCTCTCTACTCACCTCCCCTGTCCTTCCTCTTCGCCTTTTCTACATCCTGGGCTCCACCACTCCTCCAACCCACTACACATATTCTGTGAATCTAGTGTTTTAATTCAGGACTAAAAAGAGGAGGAGATTACAGCATGGAGAGAAATTTTCATGCTACTTCTTGTTTCTCCCTGGGGGCCAGACTGGGGTCTGGGGCTTCATCTGGGGCTCTATCCAGCCCCTGGAGAACACTGGGGCAAAGCGAGCAGTGGGAGATGTGACCAGAACCTGCAGAGCCCAGGTTCCCTGGGGAGGGTGCAGAGAGACACTGGGAAGGAAGGAGAGGTTGGCAGGGTCTTCAGAAAAGGGGAGAACCAGGGCCAGGTATCCTAGAGTCACACACAGCACTGGAGTCCCTGCCCAGGCCTGGCCCCATATCTCTCGGCATGCAGGGACTGGGTGCAGAGTCCTCCACAGAGGGGTCTACCCCAGTGTCAGGCTCCGGGAGAAAGCCCATGCCCTCATCAACTCCAGGGCTTTGTCCACCTCTGCCTTTGCCTTGCCATGTGCCCTTGGACAAGTCTAGAAGCCCCTCAGTTTTCCCATCTGTGCTGTCCGGTCCACCACCTCCAGATTAGCCATGAGGGTCAAATCAGGCCACAAGGACCGGATCTCTTATTCCCTAAGCTATTCAAGCTCCTGGCTCTCAGAAAGCACTCAGTAAACTTTTATTGAATGAATGAATGAATGAATGAATGAAGTGAAAGCCTCTTGGAGAGGCCACGGTTGCCCCTTAGTGGCAGGGCTAATGTGAAGTTAGGGGAGAGCCACATGTTGGAGCTGGGAGACTGGGCACAGTTGCCATGGAAACCTGTCAGAACAGCCTCCCCCCCCTATAGGTATCTGGGAATAGGCTTTGCATTTAGAGTGACAGGCTGCCACTTCCAAGGAATGGCTGAGGTAGCTGGTGAGCCAGTGGCTGACCTGTTGGGGTTGGGGGAAAAGCACTGAGACTGGGGGAGGGGCACTGAAAGAAGAGGAGGGTGGTGGCCATGTGACTTCCTAAGGGACCCTGATTTCCTCACCCAGAAAAATAGCTACAAATAAGGACCAGCCCTGGAAACATGGATGTGGAGATTCGTAGGATTAGAACATGTGTGTAGCCACTAGCCCTGCCCTATGCTCTCCTGGTGCCCAGGTTTCCTCCCAGCTCAAGGGACTCAGTGTTCCACCTGGACCTCAGACTCCACTTCCCATCCACACTTCGCAGCCACTGTGGCTCTGCAGGGCGAGGTGACCTCTGGGTGACCGCTGGGGAGTCACAGCCAGCCTGGGCCCTGGCTCACGCCTCTCCCCCTCTTATTACCTCCCTAACCAGAAAGAACTCACGACTACAGTTCAACAAGGTGAAAGTGGAGGACGCAGGGGAGTACGTCTGCGAGGCTGAGAACATCCTGGGGAAGGACACAGTCAGAGGCCGGCTCTACGTCAACAGCGGTAGGTAGTCCGCCCACAGAGGGAGGGTTCCTATAGGGGTTCCAGTTGCCCCCCCAGCCCTGGGGAGGCCGGCACATGATCCATCTTGCACTTGACTCCCCTCCCTCCTGCTGCTGCCATATCAAGCACCGAGATCTGGGCCGATTCAGAGAAATGCAGTCGAAGCATAAATGTTTAGCTTTGTTATCGGGGCCTGGAAGAGCCGCCAGCTCTCATTTTAAATACCCTAAAAACTAAATATTTTGAAATCAAGAGGTGGGGGTGGGGGAAGGATATTTTTAGAAGGCAATTATGGCAGGCTGGGCTGCCAGGACCAGGCTCCAAGGAGAGGCAGGCCCAGGGTGTGTGCGTGCGCGAGCTGACTGCCTGGTGCCTGTTGCTTTGCTGGGCACGCGAGTGCAGGCAGCTGTCTCCACGGGGCTGTGGTGGGAGGCTTGGGTGCCTTTGACCCTGGGGACAGCCTCTGTTCAGGGATGACAGGCCCCTGCCCTGCATGTCATTCTCTCCCTTGAAAACTTGTGAGGTCAGAAGCTCAAGATACCCTTAGCATCCCCTCTCCAGCTTGAGCATGGAGGCTGCCTCCTGCTGGGCTGTCTGTCCTCTGGGGCCCTTGACTGAGGAAGCCACTGGACCTGCCTGTCCTCAGGCTGCACCCCTCTACTCTAGCACACCCCACAGAACTCTTCCTTCTTCCTGACACCCAGGCCTAGCATACCATTTGGCTCCCTGGTTATTTGGGACGGCTTCCCAGTCCTGTTCCTGTCACAGATTCTAATCCTGTATCTCTCCTCGCCTACCTGTATTTCCAACATATAGCCTTACAGGACTCTAAACACAGCATGGTCCAAAGAGAGCTCGGACATGGCTGCCTTGGGCCTGCCCTCAGCAGAAAACTTGGCGCAGACGCTCTCTGTCCTGTCTTGTGAGGGATCCCCTGCTCTCCCAGCCTCTCAGGCTCCTCCGTCTCCCTTGCCACTGTATCTAATAGATCCTGGTCAGGCTTCTTTCTGGACCTTTCTCACACCTGTCCCTTCTATTCCATCCCCACCTCAGGAGCAACCTCAGCCCAGGTTTTATCCCTCATCACCTGAACCAGAGCAAAGGCCTCTCATGACGCTTTCATCCTGTCATGCACCCACCCTGGGGCCACAGAACAAATATTTTGTCCCACAGCCCAGCTCTTGAGGGAAGCCCAAAGGATCTTCCCAGTCCTAACTGCAGCCTGTCCCTTGCATCCCATCATTATTTCTCCTCCCGGGTCATCTCTCCCAGGCAGCCTTCCTCCCTGACCACTCCCAGCCTGAGGCCCACTCCTGGGCCACTTCTTGGTCAACCATGATCTTGTGTAGCTCTTGAATTCCAGCCTTCGAAGGTTCTTCAACTCTCATAGAGTTGCTGAGCTTTCTCTGTGGGTATGACCTCCCCAGGGCAATTGCGAACCAGGAGTGGGGAGAGCGGGATGATGCCTTCTCCCCAGGAGTTTCAATAATAGCCACAATTGCTGAGAGCTGCTCTGCACCAGGCTCCCCATTGTCTCTTGAGCCCGTACTCAAGGCCATGAAGTATTTTAATATATATTTTTATTGATTTCAGAGAGGAAGGGAAAGGGAGAAAGAAATAGAAACACCAATGATGAGAGAGAATCATTGATGGACTGCCTCTTGCATGCCCCACCCTGGAGATCAAGCCCGCAACCCAGGCATGTGCCCTGACCAGGAATCGAACTGTGGCCTTCTGGTTCATAGGCCAATGCTCAACCACTGAGCCACACCGACTGGGCTGAAGTATTTTATAAATTATAACACTGAAGCTCATAAAGGTTAAATATTCTTCCCAAAGTCAAACAGCTAGACCTTGCACTCCAGGAGGCTATGTGGGGCTGTTTATTACTCTTGCCTCTGGGCCTAGCACAAGTGCCTGGTTTACAGCAGGCACCTGGGAAATATTATATAAAAGGGCTTAGAACCTGCTCCAAGTCCATTAACTAACTCCCACAAGCCCCAGCCTGGGCATGGTTGTACTGGGGGTACCTGGGCCCCCTGCTCCTCCCAACCTGTCCCAAGCCTGGGAAAATGGATCCCGCATCTGCTGCCTCAGCCAGAGTGGGCAGACATTCTCAGGTCCACTTTGGATTTTAGATTCCCTATTTCATTATTCAAGGCTTTCTTGGTTAGAGCTGAGAAGAACCAACCTAACTTTAAACTACGTGAAGGAATTTATTGGTTTATAAAACTGAGATGGCCAGAGGTAGAACAGGCCCCAGACATGACAAGAACTCAGAGCAGGGGCAGGATGCTCTCTCCCACCATGTTAGCCTCATTTTCTCCTATTGGAAAGCAGGTTTTTCCTTGTCTTGGGAATGGACGGGGAAGAGGAGGCCATGGCCTCAGACAGCTCCAGGTTTATATCATCCCAGCTTGCCACCCAGGGAAAAGGGATAGTTTGTCTCTGTGTCCATTCATACAATCACACAGGTGGATTCCGATGGCTCCCTGCTCAGGTGATGTGCCGGCTTAGCCCAGTCACCGTGCTCAGGGGGTGAGGTGCCACCTGTGTGGTTGTATGATTGCCAGGCCTGTGAGTGTGTAGAGGGGGTATTGAGAGGCAGCGTACTATGAGCGTGCCCTGCTAGAACTACGGGGGAGGGGTGGGCACTTCCGTAGAGGTGTGCTGTTAGCAGAGGAGGAGGAAAGGGCTGCCATGTGAAAACCACAGGAGTGCCCTCTCTCCTGCACAAGGCTGGGGACCTAAGGCTCAGGACTGTTGTGAGATCCCTCAGATAAGCTGCAGCTCCCCCTACACGCAAACTCCTGACATTCCTCAGCAGCCCATGTTCTGATCAGTTAGGGAACCGGACAGTGGAGCTTTAGGCTGTGCTCTGAGGACTTCCCACGTGGCTTCTTGCCTCTTGTCCTTGCAGCCTGGCCAGAGAGCAGCAGGGCAGAGTGACGGAAAGAATTCAGAGCGTTGGTCTCATCCCAGCTCTAAGGCGCAACCCAGGCCGAGTTACTCTACCTCCCTAGTCTTAGGGTTTCCCATCTGAGGCTCAGCTAGATGATCTCTAAGCCCCTGCCCCTTTGCTCATGGAGAAACTTCTGGGATTCTGAGTTTGATATTGAGGCTGACATCCTATGCACTGAGCCGCCGCCGCCGCCACCACCCCCCGACCCCCACACACACACACACCACCTCTTCTGTTGCTCTGTTCAGTCCAGGGCAGGAAAGATCCTGTTCTTGATGTGGGGAGGTGAATGAGGTCACTGAAGGGGACCGGAGGCCCCTGCTGGGACGTTTTCCCAAGCAGAGACACCCAGGCTCCCTGTTTTCCTGTGGAACCCAGAAGCAACCACACCCTGGGGATGGGGGAGGGCGGGTAACGGGCCTCTGTGCCTGCCCCCCTCTGACTCATCCCAAGGTGGGTAGGATTGGCCCGCCCGGGCCCCAGGGAAGCCAGGGCTACTGGAGTGGGGAGGCCAGAAGAGGGCATGGGAGGGCTGGCAAGGAGCAGTGGCTGCTCAAGGAGCATCATGGTGGCTCTTTGCTACTGTAGCTCTGTTCCAGCGGCCCTCGATGCTCCTTCCCCAAATCACAGAGCACCCTTCTTGCAGTCACAGCTCTGCCAGCTCATAAGAGGCACGTTCCTGAGTTGGCTGGGATAAGAAGGAGGAGACAAGGAGTTTGTGGTGCTTTTAACAAAAACAATCAGCTTGGTCCAATCCACTTCTGAATTAGAGAAGCCAGCTGCCTCATCCCCAGGTGAAAGAGAATTTGGGAATGTCCCAGGTGACTATACTAGTCCCAGATGTCAAACCTGCCTATCCTTCACCCAGATGGTAGGCAGGTTTGGCCTGGGGTGTCACAAGACCATGGAAGCCCCGGAGAGGCTTCTGGGCCTGTCCATTACCTGGAGGCTTAAAAAGGCTAACTTTAATCACATGAACATGCACGCATGCACTCTGACTCATGCAGGCACACACACGCATGCACTTTCACACATTCAGCAAGGCCTTACTCAGCAAGACCCTGTTTTGAGCTCTGGGGAAGCAGTCTGGGCTTCTGACAAAGTTCCTTAAATGGCAGGAAGCTAAAACCTGAACTCAGTGTCTGCCTGTCCTAACATACCAAAGAGGAAGGATAGGCAACTTTGGCAACTTTATCAATGGGAAAGGGGGCATTCTGGGTAAGTGGGAGGGAGCCTTGAGGGATGAAGAGGTTTCTCCATGAGGGAGGGAGAAACAGCTGCCGCAGCTGGCAGCAGGAAGAGCATCCATAGCATCTGCCCCCTCCTGACCCATTCTCTCTTCAGGGACCCGGTAAACTTACACCAAGAAACTAATGGCTAATGTGCCCAGGCATTTTTCTAAATCAAAATTTTTAGGTCTAATTGACATGCTATAAAATTCACCCTTTCTAAAGCATACAATTCAGTGGGTTTTCGTATATTCACAAAATTGTAAAACCATCACCACTAATTCCAAAACATTTTCATCACCTCAAAAAAATACCAAATACTCATTAGCAGTCACTCCCCATTTATCCCTCCCCTTAGTACCTGGCAATCACTATTCTGCTTTGTGCCTCTATAGATTTACCTATTCTGGATATTTTATATAAATAGAATCACAATATACAACCTTTCATGACTAGTTTCTTCCACTTGATATGTTTTTAAGGTTCATCCACACTGTAGCATTTATCAGTACTTTACATTTTATAGCTGAATAATGTTTCATGGTGTGGATATATCACATTTTGTTTATCCATTCATCAGTGAGTTGTTGGGTCATTCAAGTTTGTTTTCACATTTGGGCTATATGAATAATGCTGCTATGTCATTTGTGTATAAGTCTTTGTGAGGACATATATTTTCAATTCTCTTGGGTCTATACCTAGGAGTAGAATTTCTGGGCCACATGATAACCCTCTGTTTAATTTTTTTGAGGAACCACCAGACTGTGTTCCAAAGTGGCAGTACCATTTTATATTCCCACCAGCAATGCATGACGGTTTGAATTTCTCCTCGTCTTCACCACCACTTGTTATTATCCATCTCTTGTATTGTAGCCATCCAAGTGAGGGTGAAGTGGTATCTCACTGTGGTTTTGATTTTCTTTTCCCTGATGACCTCCCAGGAATATTTGCATTTAACAGGAAACAATGTTTTGATCTACAGAAAAGCTAAGTCCCCGTCAGCCAAGGTTCAGTGGTAAATGAGATAGACAGGGCCCCTGCCCAAAGGGAGATTACATTCTAGTGGAGGGGAGGGGCTAAGCTTCAAACAGCTAGTAATTGCACAACTAGTCCTTTAATTATGTTAGAATGAGCCCTACAAGTACAGATATACAAAGCTACGAGAAAAGTGAGGAGGAGCCTGAGCAGCCTCTCTGAGATACTGATTTGTGTGTGTGTGACTTAAAACTACATTTATTATCTTTCGGTTTTTGTAGTTCAGACATAGCTTAGCTGATTCCTGCAGCTCAGAGCCCCTCACAAAATTTCAATCAGGGCCTCTGGGCTCAACCTGGGTGTTTGGGGTGGGGATCAGGGGGTCAGGATCCACGTATAAACTCACTCATATGGCTATTGGCAAGCCTCAGGTCTTCACACTCAGTTGACAAGAGATGAGATACTAATATTTTAAAAGTCCTGGACAGGAAGGCACCTGGCTTGTTAGAGGAGTTGGACTAAGCCAGTGTAGTGTGCATATACTGCAAGAGAGGAATAGGACATGAAGCAGGAGAGGTGGGAAGGCCCAGATTGGACCTGGGAAAAGTTGAGGGACTCTATTCTGAGTGCAAATGGAAGCCATAGGTGGATTTTGATAATGGAAATGATTGATCAATATTCTAAAATCCAGTTTGGCCCTAGCCAATTTGGCTTAGTGGATAGAGTGCCAACCTCTGGACTGAAGGGTCCTGGGTTCGATTTTGGTCAAGAGCATGTATCTTGGTTGCAGGCTTGATCCCTGCCTGGTCAGCAAGTGTGGGAGGCAACCAATCAATGTGTCTCTCTCACATCGATGTGTTTCTCCCCCTCTCTTCCACTCTCTCTAAAAATCAGTGGGAAAATATCCTTGGGTGAGGATTAACTAAAAATTAAAAATAAATAAAAACCACTTTGGCAGCTACGACGAGAAATGGTTAGAGATGAAGGCAAGAGTGAGGGCAGAGAGACCAGTGAGGAGGCTATGATAGTCGTGCACAGAAGAGACCATGCGACCAGGACTTGGGGAGGCAGGAGTGAGACATGGATAGAGACTCGTGCAGAGGTAGCAAGGCAGCCCTTGGTGACAGACAGCTGGGGAAAATAAAGGAGGAAGAGAACCAAAGATACCCTCTAGGTAATGGGTTTGTTCCCTGCAGTCACTGGCTGGGCAGATGACTGGCAGCTGAGTTTGGGATGGCTAGGAGCCATCCCAGTGGAGGTGTCAAGGGAGTAGCCAGACTCTGCAACTTGGAGTCCGTATGTCATCTTCACTTCCCCAAACACAGTGATGAGGGAGTAGGGATGTGTTGCCTTGAGAGCCTACAGAGTTGCACTGCAATGACTTAGGAAGGCCCTGCCTTCCCGGGGGGGGGGCGGGGGCAGAGGGGGACAGGGAGGGGGAAGCTCGAGGTACTTCTTTCTGAGATAGAAAGGCCTATGTCACTTCCCCCCACACACTCTGTGACTGGCTCCCCCATTGGCCTCCCCTTTTGCCTTTCTAGTCCCCATGACAACACAGTTCTGGCAGCTCAGGCCAGGGCATCCCCAGTGGGACCCTGGCTTCCTTCAGGAGTTGTCCTCTACCTCCCAAGGCCTCGATGAGCACAGACAGGCATGTGGACAGACCCAAGTGTACAGTTATGGTCCCTGCCACCCTCCTCGCTGCCCTCTGCTGCTCACTCAGCACAGCAACAGGCAGGCTTTCCCGCCCGTGACTGTGGTGGAAGCCAAGCTGGGCCTGGCAGGTTCAGGACAAGATTTCTCTGGCTTGGCCAAGACTCACAGAGGACGCAGGCCTGTGGTCCACATCGGGTTTGCATCCATCTGCTTATGTCAAGTCTTGTACTGACGTGTTCTTCCACAAGGGACTGTGGCTGGCAAGAATGCTCAGCCAGGCGTCGGGAGTTTTAGATCCTTGTCACAGCACACACTGTGACTCCGAACAGGCACTTCCCTGCTCTTTCCTCACTCCCCCTTGGCAGTGTAACCAAAGGACAGGACAACCTCTAGGGTCATTCCAAGCAACAGGATTTTATCATTCACAGGCGTGGTCACCTCAGCTGTTTCTCTTCTCTGTCCCTTTCTCAGTTCCCTGGGTCTCACTGACCCAGAAATGAGGCAGAGACCAGCAGGAGGCCTCCTCTCCCAGCCAGCATGTGGCTCCCAGCTGGACCTGGAGTGTATGAAGGCAGGAGCCCTGGGCAGGGTGGGGCTCAGGATGCCAGACCAGCAGCAGGCACGATGTGGAGGGGAAGGTGGGAGCTGGCCCTGCCCGCTGGGTTTTATCAGCGAGCTCTTCAGACATATACAGAGGCAAGGCTGTGTATACACTCCCAGTCCCCGCGCTCCATCTGTCTCCCCGCATGTCTAAACAGTGAGGGCGCCAAGTGCCTGCTCTCCACCTCCTCCTCCTCTCGCCCCCATTACTGCGGGAGGTGGTAGACACTCAATACCCCTGAGGAGACAGGACCAGCCAAGGTAAGAAGGTTCGCCTCAGTCAGGAGTTCGCTGCTGGGTGAGTGAGAGGTCCTCAGAGCCCCAGAGTCTGGGGGGGTCCGGGGGGGCCCCGGGGTCACGGGGGGCAGGAACCAGTTTCTGGCTGCCCAATCTGGATACAAAGCCTAGGCCCTAGGGGGTTAGCTTACAGATGAAAACTGACATTTGGGGCAAGAATTTTCACTTGAAATCAGCTTTCTGGATGCCATCCAATGGGGAAGCAGAATTTTTGTTATGTTCACTTATCAAAAGAAGCTGATCAATCAGATGTGCAGTTGGAGTCAGCAGCCCTAAAGCCCATCTTGCTCTCACTTAGTGTTCACCTCCCAGCTGTTCCCAGCCCTCTCCCAGCCTGTCTCCTCTCCAGCAACCTGAAGCCCAGGTTTGTACCCTGGGCTGTCCAAGGCCTGGAGGCTCCTCCAGTGACAACAGCTAACACCATGGGGAAGGAGGGGGGCTACCTGGCGAGGGCAGATACAAAGAAGACCCTGGATGCTCATGGAGATGGGCACAGTGGCCTTTATGACATTCATGGGAGGCTTGTCTCCTCCCCTCTCCCCAAGGGGGAAGAAATGGAAGGAAGGGTTCTCCCCACATCTCCTTAGATCTTAGAACCTGACAGTGTCCAAAAGGTGCCGTTCCCCTCAAAGCGTAGCTTCCTTCCAGCCACTATGGGAGCCCAAGCAGTGCATATGGATATGGATGTCCCCTCCCTGTGACTCTGTCCCCCATAGAACACGTGGTGTCTCATCTGTGTGCAGTGGCGCCCCCAGGAAGACAGGCAGGGAGGGGGCTGAGGGAACAGTTTTTGCTGGCCTCTCACCACCTCCACACACAGAAAACCTCCCAGGCCTTTGGAAGTTTGCCCAGAGCAGGGGTGCAGGGTGGTGCTGGGAAGATGGTCAGAGCTCATGGTGGCCTCCCCTTTGCTTTGTGGTGACTGAGAGGGACCACCAGACCTTCCCTGCCCAGCCATTCCTGCTGTCTCTGAGCTTCGAGCATTGAGATGGGCAATGCAGGCGGTGGTTCCTGGGGCCCAGAGGTGGTCTCAGTGGGTCACTGGCATATGTCTCTCATACCTCCAGTGAGCACCACTCTGTCATCCTGGTCGGGGCACGCCCGGAAGTGCAACGAGACAGCCAAGTCCTATTGTGTCAATGGAGGCGTCTGCTACTACATCGAGGGCATCAACCAGCTCTCCTGCAAGTAAGTGACCAGTGGGGGCGGGCGTGAGGGCAAAACAGGGTAAGGCAGGCTGGGGCAGAAGTGGAGGGCTCTAGGAAAAGTGCGCTTCAAGCCACTAACAATGGGTCCCCAAGGAGTGTAGACAGGGATGTGTGCCCCCTTTCCTGGAATCCAGGGAGATGTAGGCGCTAAAGGGCTCAGGGCTTCTCCAGGCCCAGTTTCCCAGGCCCCTACCCACTCATCTCCTGATGTCCACCCCTTCACCACCTTTCAGGAAGATGGGGAGGCCAGTCTGTGACCTGGGCATTGGGCTCGTTCTCTCTCTCTCTCTCTCTCTCTCTCTCTCCCCCCCCCTCCCCATTGCTCAGCAACTCTCCAAACTTTGTTCTGATAAACATTCCCTAGGGGGAGGGGGGTTCCCCAGCAGTGAGGAGCCTGGCAGGGCCAGGCAGAGTGTGAGTCCCAGAGCCCTTGGGGGAGAAGAGGGCTCTGTCCCCAGTGCTCACCTCAGGACCTGGCTACTCTCCCTGCCTGGCAGGACCCCACTATCCAAATATGTCCTGGGTGCTGCCTGGCCCTAGTCCCTCTCTATGGGATGAAGGGACTCCAGTGGGGACACCACTCTTGGTGTGACCCAATGGGGGAGGTCAGGGTTGAAGAGCTCAAGCTGGGCCTTCTGTGCCTCCCCAAGGTCAGAGCTCCTCTCCAGCCGGCAGGGCTGCCTCAGGAGGACTCCCGGGAGCTTAGAACCACCTGTTCCACTTACACACAGGGCAGAGGGAATGGGCATCAGAGAGGGCTTGTTCAGGCCCAGCCAGACCTTCTGAGCAGCTGGACCCACAGCGCCCCCTTGATGGGTTCTCTGGCAGGTGCAAGAGGAGGAGGAGGAAACAGAAGAGGAGGAGAAGGAGGAGTGGCTGGTGAGGGTAGCACAGGTTCTGGCTGGATCCTCAGGAGTGGGAGGGAGGTCTAGTTAACAACTTTGGGTTTTCAAAGCAGCCCAAGGCTAGGGTCTGGCAAGGTGCCAAAGCTGCCCCATTCCCATGGCATCTGGGCAAAGGCCACCAGAGTATCAATGGAGATTCAGAGAGAGGCATTTGCCCTCCCCACAGACAAGTCAGATTCAGCATTCCTCAGCTCTCCTGTTCTCCCGCCTGGCTACAGCCCTAGCCCGGGACTTTCAAAGACCACCCCACCACACAAAGGGAGAACAGGGGTCGATGCCTCCTTCACACTCTCCCTCAGGGCCGGGCCAGCTTGGCCTGGGCTGCCAGGCAGATCTGTGCCTCTCACCCCAGCTGGCCTCCTTTGCTGGCTTCCTTCCTGGTTCCACCCTTACCTACTGCCATCCCCTTCCCGTCTCCCCGATCCTGAATCTTAGGGGACAGTCCCAATGGCAACAGCAGGTCCCCCAGGGAAGTTCCAAGCCCAGACTCAGCCCCTCATCCTTTCCCTCACTCTGCCTCTAGGAGGCTGCCACATTACTTCTGGAGACCCTGGGGAGCATTCTAGCCTTGATGATGCTCTGAGCTCTTGGGAATAGACCTATAGAAATCCAGAGGGTTCTGGAAAACCTCCCAGAGACAGCCTAGCCTTGTGCCCTCCCTGCTTACCACCCCCCAATACACACACACCAGTCTTCTCTTCCTTAGCCCATTGGACCCTAGAATCTTGAAGGGATCCAGCAAAGGCACTGAAGTCAGCCCTGGCTCCAGGTAGGGAAGGTTTCAGCCCCCCAGGGCAGGTGCTGGGGCTGAGGAGGGCTTTGGGGCCCAGAACTCCGGCGCTAGAGAGTTTAGTGTGGGAAGGAGAAGGATGAGCTAATGGGTTCCCAGAGGGTCCTGCCATCAAGGCTGTACCCTTTAGACCCTCTGGGTCCCACCAGCTCCATCTGAGAGGAATAGAGGGCAGGAGCCTGAGCCATTGTGAAGACAATGTCCTGCTTCCCCTCCCCACCAGGGCACTGGGGTCACTGCTTAGCACTTGAACTTGGTACCCAGAATCACCACCTCCCCATCTCAACCTGCCCTGGAACCCACTTCCCTGACTCCCTGAGCCCTCAAGGGAGAGGGGCATCCCTGGCGGGGATTTCGGCCAGGAAAGCAGATCCTCAGAGCTGTGCTGGAGAAGGACAGGGGGGAGGGGGCCGGGCAGAGCCCAGAGGCCACTCTGGGGGTGGGTAGGCCGGGAGGGAAGGGGGGCAGGCCTCTTGGGGTTCCTGATGACACCTGAATGGAATAAAAAGGAGAGAACTCAGGAAATGGGACTCACGTCTTACCATTTGTGCTGTTTGTTTACTTTTTATTTTGATTTTTTTGCATTTCCGCTTAGCTTGGATAATGAAACTAGACTGGTCAGTTTCATTCCAGTTTCTATAAAAATCAGTTTTCCTTCCTGGTTTTCTGACACTTGTTGTTGTGTATTGGTTCAGAGCCCTGCAGGGAGTGTTGGAAAGCAGGCACACTCCGCCCCTCCTGTTTTTGTGGAATTCAGAGCCAAAAGAAACAGTGTCCCTGATACTGAATTTTGTTTTCAAAAAGAAAACTTAGGGGGATTGGAAAATGGGGGGTCCAAATCAAGGGGACTGTCTCCTGTCTGGGCCAGACAGGGGCCTCTGCACTTCCTCTTGCTGCTTTCTCCTCTTCTCTTCGTGTTTTGTAGAGCACGGTTGGTGCGTGACTCTTGGGGACTGGTTCAGGGGATGATGACAGAACAAGACTCTCTTTCCAGCCCTGTGCACATACCAGCGGCATGCCTCCCTTTCCCATCAGCTCATCCCCCATTCCTTCTGCTCCCCCACCCCATTTCCAGGTGATTTCCCCCATCCCATACCCATGTGCCTGCTCATCCTCTTCACATCACCACCCCACCCCTCATGAGGCCAGAGCCCCTTTCCTCCCTCCCTCCAGTGCCGGGGCGCACCCTCATCCTTCATCCTCCCCCTCCCCTGGGTGAGGGCAGCACACATGGCATTATCCCCAGGCTACCAAAAGGAGAAACTGAGGCCAGGGAGCTGGGGTGGGAAAACAGGGAGGCAGTGTCCCAACCTCTCTGTTAGCCCAGATATAGCCCGAGGGCTCTCCTCTCTGCCCCTCTCTCACCCCTGCTCTTCTCCAGTCCTGGGCACAGACCTTCCCATAGTCATAGCAGATGATTTGGGAGGAAGGGCTGGGAAGGCTGCTACCTGCCATTCCTTCTAATCTGTCCCCTGTGCTTCTGTGCTAGGTCAGTCCCTGTTGGAGTGGGAACTACTAGTTAGCCACTCACACTGACTTCAGACCCCTCCTGGGTGATAGGCTACAATAGGTGGACCCTGCTACCTGGTCTTGGGTGCAGGGTAGAAAGGCTATAGGCTCAGTCCCAGAACCTTCTCTAGGGAAACCCAGCCTCCTAGATATAGTGCACCCTCAATAAGCAAGGCTAAAGAGAACAGAAGTGTCCAGGAGCCTGCCCCCCCCCCAACCAAGGAGCCAGTGCCCAAAGAATAGCATGGGTGTCAGTCCTCCCCACCCCTACGCTGTGCCCATCCCCCCACTGCCAGTGGGGAACACACTTTCCCAGGGCAGGAAGGTTAGGACCATATTGCACAACTCTGGGGGCATGTTCATGCTATAGACCATGTCCACGGCACCACCTTGAGTTGTGCAACTCAGTGGCCACAAAAGATATGAGGATACAGTTGGGTTAGTCCAGGCTGAGTGTGGGATCAGGGACACAGGGATGTGCTATTATCATTGGTCTCCAAGAGCATCCCAGGGACAGCATCCCTGGTGCAATCATGCCAAATTCTCCCAGTATTGGGAATAATGTCCCCTTTGCTTCTTCCTGCCCCTGCACCCCTCCTCCCCCATTATCTCTCTAACACACACACAGGTTTTCCCTGTCTCCAGGAGCCAGACTAATCTCAGACATTGGACACAGTCAAACATATCTCTTTCTTGTTCCTTTGCGAATTCCAAGAGTCATTTGGGCAAGTTCCCCCAAAGGTGCTGCTGCTTGAAAAATCACTACTCACCCTTGAGTCCCCATCCCAAGTGGACATCAGTTTCTGAGAGCTGAGGAAGAAGAGCTGAGCCTGATGGGAGCTGGTTGGGAAGCCATAGCCTTAGCCTTAGCCAAGACCTCCATTTGCCTGGGCTGGAATGGTTGAGGATGAGAGCCAGGGATCAGAGAAGGAGGTATTGACAAGATGGTAGCCTGCTCCTCTAAGCCACCCTGTTCAACGGGATGAGTGTACATCAATTTCACTTACAGCCCCTCCCACTTTCTCCAGACACACTTTCCAGCCATTCACCACCGCCCATTGGCCAGGTATACCTGCACACACACTGTCACCACTGCAGGGACCAGCCTCCTGCCTCCCAGAGGGAGATGATGTCAGGGCCCAGAGAAACTCTGCTACCTGCTCACCATCCACTCCCAATCCTCCAGGCTAGATTGAGGGCCACAGGGTTTTCATGAGTGTCTATCACAGCCAATGGCCACAACCTCCTATAAGCTTAAGAGGCTACTGATGATTTGTATACGCTAGAATGCTAAGAGGTAGAGTACACTCACCTCTTGATTAATGTTGAACAGTGACCTATTATTGAGGAGACACTGGTGATGGGCTGACCTAATTTCCTAAGGAAGAAGAGGCGAGGCAGCATACCCATCTCTGAGTAGGATTTGAGGGTTAGTCTGGCCCTGTCTGTAAGCCTCCCTGAGGTATCTGAGAGTACAGGGCTGGGCATGTCTCCCAGAAATCTGCAAGACAGGGACTCACTTGAGGGGAGAGTGGCAGCCAAAGAGCAGAAGGAAGTATACCTGGGCAGAAGAGCAAGGTCAGGGAACTGGGAGTGGGTGGTGCTTTGCAGCTATAGAGGAGGCAACATGGGAGAATGAGCACCCACCAGAGCCAAGTAAGGATGGAGGAGCAGGTCATGGGGAAAGGCAGGTGTGCCCGGCAGCCAGTAGGCTCCAATGTGGAACAGGCTTCAGGGTCCCCAGGGAGCCTACTCCAGCTCCCATCATAGTACTTGCCACCTGAGGCCAGATGCCCTGCCCCTGGCCTTGGCAGGCCAGCTTTGGGATGCTGGTAATTCTGGCTCTTCGCTAGCCTCACCTGTTCCCCAGTGAGCTTCCCCATGGATACTACTCTAGGGCAGCCTTCCCCAAACAGGGTTACAAGGATTCCTCAAAAAAAAGACTTCGATGGTCAAATAAATTTGGGACATACTGGAAAATTCAGTTCTTTCCTCCTACAAAACTTTTCATAGCCTTTCATATGCCAGCGTGCACTGCAGCTCTACAAGGAAGCCTGGGAATGGATTTCCTAAACTTATTTGGCCATAGAACATTCTTCAAGAGAAGAGATGAGGTATCTCCAAGGCCCCTTTTGTCATGAGTACACAGTCTGGGAACAGCATTCTGGGGTTCCCTGAGCTTTCTGGAGCTGTTTCATGGATGAGAAAACCTGCCCAGAGCTCTGGAGAGAACCCTTTGGTAGGGCCTAGAAGAAATGGTTCCCAACTTGGTATTCCAGAGAACTCCCAGCACCCTGCCTGCTGACTGCCTGGCACCAAGGGGCTGCAGTTCTGGCTTCTTGGGGCCCAGGCAGGGCAGAAGGGAAGTCTCAAGGACCATTAGGACAATTAGGCAGTAAGTTCCCAGTTTCCCCACCCTGCTTCCCTGTATCATCCTCCTCCCCGCCCCCTCCCCTCCCCACCACCTACGGAGCCACATCTAGTAGAGAGATTTTGAAGGAGATTTCCGAGCCCTCCACCCAGCCCTGACTCCAGCCCCTTTTGCGATAAGTGTGCCCCAGCGCCCAACTTGGTTTTCTCATTCATCACTGTGCACTTTGATTTCTAACCTGAGCCTCGCGGATGATGCCAGTTTGTTCTGTGATTTTTCCCCTTTTCCTTCTCCAGATGTCCAAACGGATTCTTCGGACAGAGATGTTTGGAGAAACTGCCTTTGCGATTGTACATGCCAGATCCTAAGCAAAGTATGTTTGAAGATACAAACACGAGTCCCTGCTCCTTAGAAAGCTTCCGGGTGCAGTCCCCCCACCCCCTGACGTAGGGCGTAGGGCCAGGGGTGTTGGTTGTTTTGATCTTTGGCTGTTTTGTTTTGTTTCTCTTTTCTTTTCTGTATTTTGGTTTGTTAGTTCTTTTTGTTTTGTTTTGTTTTGCTTTGTTTTTCATTTTTGGCCTAATCCTTGGGTTTAAAGTTCAGGGCTACAGGTAAGGGGCATAGTGGCAAGGCCAGTACAAATGGTAACGTTGGCAAGGAACCCAGCTGGCATGGGCAGGAGCCGTGCCAGGGTGTTGCAATGCCTGTGTCTTGCTATCCTGGCTCTCTCTTTCTGGTTTTCTTTCTTTTGGTAGGTGTCCTGTGGGATACACCGGGGACAGGTGTCAGCAGTTCGCAATGGTCAACTTCTCCAGTATGTCTCTTTCTTCTATTTCTTTTCTTCCCTGGTGACTGACAGTCTCCCCCTGTGGGAGGGGTGGGGCCTTGCTGAGCAAGACTAGGGGAGGACACGGGGGTGCCCTGGGCTCCTCTCAGTCTTCAGTGCTCACAAGAAGCCTGTGCGGAGGAGACCCATACACCCCTGCCACCCCACCTCTACGTCGCTGTCCTGCCTGGGTGCAGTAATGCCAAATTCTCCCTGCAGCTGGCCGAGCCCCGCTCAGGCCTCCTCACTGCTTCTGAGGTGGGGCAGCCTGGCCAGCTTAGGAAGAAGCATTTGCAGAGCCCTCACCTGCTTCTGAAGGCCTGTTTGAGGAGGTCAGGCTGCCTATGGGGCCGCGCAGTGAGTGTGTGCACGTGTGTGCTGGTGTGCTTGACAGAAGCGAGTCCTCGGAAAGCCTGTCTCCAGGTCAAGCCAAAGTTGGTTTTGGTTTGGTTTTTGGTGATGGGGGTGTGGAGAAGGGGGTGTTGAGGGAGAACAGGTCCCATGGCAATAATTTTCATGTTAACCAGAGACTGGAGACATTTCCGTGGCTATGGGATGGGGTGGGCGGTTGAAGCGGATGCTAAAAGATAGAAGGGCTGAGGAATCGAGAGGTAACTAGCAACTCCCTCCAGGCCCTATCTGGTCTGAGTCCCCATCCAGGTGTTCATTCCTTTCCATTCTTCCACTTCTGAGGTTGGAGCTTTCTGGTGTACATGGTTTGCTGGTGGGGGGCAGGGGGATGTCAGCCCTGTGGCTTAAGGATGAGGCCATAATTGTGGTTTTATTTGGAGCTGGGAGCAGTTCCCTTCAAGTACCACCAGGTGGAGGTGAAGCAGAGCAAAAAGCCACAGGCTGGCCATGGACTCTGTGTTTGGGGTCCGGCAGTCTGTTGGCCTGCAAGCAGGACATCCTCCTAGTACATAGGCCCCTGCTTGCCCCCCTCCTCTCCAGGGAGGACAGCGGGGTCCCAGGAGGACATAGGAACCACAGTGATGGGCCTGGACATGGGCAGCTAAAGTTCAAGAGGCTGAGGGAAGGACCCAGGAGGTTATTGAGGTAGCCTTTGGAAAAAGGGGGTTTGGGTCCTCAGGCCACAGCACAAAAGCCTGGAATATGCTACCCTCTCCCTCCCCTTCTAGGAGCCTGGAAGCCAAGTCTTGGCGAGGAAAGTAGAGGCCCCAGGGAGGTAAGGGCTGGTCGGCCCAGATGGTCAGCTATCTTAATAGCGTGTGGGAGGCAGCACTCTCCCCAAGCTCCTCCAGTTGGAGGTCAGAGAGGAAGGCCATGGGGATAAGAGCAGAGCCTGTGGGCAGGGCATGTGGCCCAACAGAATTCTCCAGAGCCCAAGCTCCAGGAAGAATTGCAGAGTCAGATCCAGCCCATTGGAGGGCCTTAGGGTGGGGGGTGGGGGCCTCGGGATGGGGCAGAGCAGCCAGGCGGAGGCTGAGCACCATGGGAGAGAGGCAGTGAGGCCTATTCCTTGTCACCTTTAGGTCCAGAGCCTCCCTGGCTTATGGACTGTTCTGGACAGGGAGTCCCAGCCCATCGTGAATCAGAGCAGCAGAGCCTCCGGAACTCGGCCACTGGCCAAGCTTCTCTGCCAGCTGGGCTGCTTCAGCTTTCAGCTCAGATCTGCTGGGAGGGTCAGCAAGGCCCCAGGAGCTCAGAAAAGAGCCCGGAAAGGCAGCGCCAGGCCTTCCTGCCTAGTGTTATCGGATCGCTGCTGTTACCTTGCTAGCTTTGGGTAAAGGATTTATACTCTTCAAGCACTTTGCCCAGAGCACTTCATGCAGTGCTCGATCAGATCGTTATTAAAAAGGTAGTGGGTGATGCTAGTTTAAGTGTTCAGGCTTTCATTTCAGATAGACCTGAATAAAAATGCCAGCTGCTGAGCTTGCTAGTTCCGGGGCCTCACTTAACCTCTCTGTGCTTGTTTTTGCATCTGTAAAATGGGGATACTAACACTTCTGCCTGTAGGGTTGCTGTTAGGATGAAATTATGTATATGAAGGGCTTAGCAGAGAGCCTGCCTGCCTGACTGTTTGAGTGCAGTTTAGGCAGCAGGGCCAGCATGAGCTCCCTGGAGGCTGACCTCCGGCACATCCTGAGCGCAGTGTCTGACTGCAGAGAGCCTCTAGACTAGGTTACTTCTTGCAGAGGCCACAGAATCAGAGCCTCTAGTCACAACAGCACTTTGAAGCTTCTCCTTCTTCCACTGACAGCCCCTCCACTTCCCAAGAGTCAAAACTGTGCATCTATATATATCAACCCCGTGTAAAAGAGCACACTCACCTGCAGACATATGAACAAACACACAAGCATGTGCTCTGGAGCCCACATTATGGCCTCCTGGTCCAGGTCCCTGTGACTGTGTATCAGAGGACATGCCCAGGATGAGGACTTTGTATATTGCCTGCTAAGCTTGGCCCTATTGGAAAGCTAGCACCAGGTTGCCATGGTTACTGGTCAATATGAAATTTCTACTCAGTAGGACCTGTCTGTGACTCAGTGTTGCCACTTCTCCTGTCTGAGTGGCAGCCAGTGAACATGACAAGTGGGAGACTGTTTTTCTTTGCTGGGGCTAGGCTAGAGAGCCACAGGCCCCTCAGAATTCATCCCCAGGGAGAGGGAAGCAGGACTGCCTTCCTAGTGACTGGACAAGCCCTCAGTGACATCACCAGCCACCACTGGTCCATCCTAAACAGTACTGGCCTTTGACTCAAAGGAGAGGACAGTCAGGAGACCCAGAAGCTGCTGTTATTGCTACCACTTGGTTCCTAGAGGAGTGGTGCTGAAGAAAATTCCAAAATGGCTTTGGGAGCCCTGCTCCCTTCTCCAGGTGGTCATTGCCCTTCGGACTAGCCAGTCAGGCCTTCCCAGAGGCCCAGTGGACAGGAATAGCCATGGTTTAGCCCCAAGAGACTGGAGGCCTGGACTGGAGGCCTTCTGCCTCCTAATTTGCTGTGTGACCTTATGAAAGTGTTCTAGCACCTCTGGGCCCCAGCTGCCTCATCTAAAACAATAGTCAAAGGGGAGCCCAGGCCAGCTCTATGGACCACAGTCATCTTAATGTCCCAGGTGCTATGGTCAAGCTAGGTTGTTCTCTCTTAGGAGGCATAGCTGATATCTAGACTGTGAGCTCTCTCAAGTTACCTGAAAGGTCCCTGGGGCCAGAGGTTTAACTACTCAGGGAAAGTTGCCCCCGAGGACTCTGAGTTTGTCAAGGTTGTACTGCCTCCTTAGCCCAGGGAGAGGCGTGGACTCACTGTACTTATGGTGACTCCTACTCCAAGCAGTAAGAAAAGGACTGCAAAGAAACCACATTCGAGGTCACTACCAACCTCGCATCTAACAGGAGTGCACAGGAGGGCTCATATTCGGAAGGGCTGGGGTTCAGGCTTCAGTGGTATGGTCTCTGCATGGAACTGGGGCTCAGGGCTCAGAATCCTCGAGCCTCTTTTGGTCAGAACGATCTTGGTCCCTGGCGCAGAGCCACCCTGCTCTCCTGCCCTTTTCCAACTATAGAACCCTCTGGAATCCCCATGAGGAAGCAGAAAGAGATCCAGGGATAGACAATGCACAGGACTTCCTTCCATGCTCTCCCTCCTCTACAGGGAATGAGAACATCAAAACACAAGTTCACCTGCTCCCTGATCTAGCTGAGCTTACTGAGTGCAGGTGGGGAGGCCATGGTGTTGGGCCCTGCAACTGTGCTGAGCCTCATGCTGTCCTGACCTTCTCACATCTGACCCCTCACTGTGTGCAGGCACTTTTGACAGATGACTTGCCCACATCCACGCAGCCAATTAGAGGTAAAACTGAGCCTCAAGGCCTGCAGACAGGAATTGGCTGCAACATGAGAATAGTAGGTGAGCTTTTCAAAAACACTGTTGAGATTCCTGGGCTCCCACCCCAGACTCTGATTTCATTGGTCTGGAGGATTCTGAAGCACAGCCATGTTGGAAACTACCCAGATATGCCATGGTCAGGCCTAACCCCCATTTAACAGATAAGAGACTGAGAGCTAGATAGACTCTAGCTAGATCACACCTTAGGCAGGGCTCTCTTACCTACCCCTTGTATGGCATGTTGCACATTTGCAATATGATCCCACTTTAAAGAATGCAGTTGGCCCACCACTTAAGGGGCACAGGTGTTCCACAAGTGAACCCACTTGTCTCTCTCAGAGTTATAGTTTGCTTTGCTAAGTTGTGAAATCAGGCTCAGACCCTGAGGCCCAGCCCCTGTAGGCTTCTAGGGTGTTGGGGGTGCCAAGTGGAGAAGTGACCTGCCACCTGGAGCCTCCTCCTCTCCCAACTCCTGCTCCCCACAAATTCTGAGTACAAGTGCACCGGCTCCTGGTAGATAGGCAGCCAACTGAGCCTGGGGGGCAGGACAGAGACAAGGGGTCAGTCTGGGAGCCCCACCCATCATTCTGAACAGAAAAGTGAGCTCCATGGAGGAGCTTGGGGCTGAGCAAGCCGTGTCCAGGAGGGGCTTGAGAGTGCTGAAGGCCTGGTGCTGGAGCTGGGAGGGGGAGAATGCAGACTCTTCGGACCCCCGTCCCCACTCACCTTTCCTCCTCGGGGACATACGCCAACTGCCTCTCACCAGGTACTAACCCCACAGCTCATCTCTAAAGAACCTGCCCTGCCTGCCAAGCCTAACATTTCCTCTCTCCACCCGTCAGGGGCTCTTAGGGATGGGGTGCCAGGGAAAGGGCTCAGGAAGCTGGGAGGGGACACCACTAACCTGCTTTCACCTCACAGGCTGGCTGCTGGTGTCTGAAGAGTCCTGACCAACGTTTCTCTCTCTCTTTCTTTCTCTCTCTCTCTCCCTTCCCCACCCTCCCCCTCCCCCATACATCTCTGTATCTCTCCCTCCATCCCTTCCCCTCTCTGACCCTCTTCTCTTCTGCACTGCCAGAGCACCTGGGATTTGAACTAAAGGGTATGGAGCCTTCATTTATCACTACGTCCCGTCCACACAGCCCCTCTCCACAGCCTCTGACACCATGTGTGCTGGATGTTTGGCTTCCTTTCCAAAACATGGGGAAAAGATGATTCCAAAATTCTCCTCTGGCCCCATCAAGATGTCCAATCATAAACCACTTTTATCTGGGGGAGACGAAAAGTTCATGAAAAGCAGAGCACCCTGGGAGACATACTGTGGCCCCAGTGTATGGTAGCCTGGGGCTGATGCGTAGGAGAGCTGGAGTCCGGAAGCCACGCATCTTGGTTTGGAGAGTTGTGAAGAAAGGCAGCACTTTCCACTTAACCTTAGTCCCCCTTCCTCCTCCCATTTCCATCTCCATTGCTTCTCATCTCTGCCCTCTGCCCTGGGTCTGCCAGGCTTTGTCATCTGCTTGAGGCTGTCACTCCCTCCATGATCTGCCCCCACAATGGCACACGTGTTCATCTGTAAGCAAGGGTCTGGGGTGGGCCAGCCTCTGGAGCATCCCTCCTGCCCCCCAGTGGAGAAGCTTACCTCCCTCCCACTCGTGTGTTCTGGCTCCTGGAAGATACCTCGGATGGGAAGGCGCTCTGAGGGTCGGTCTGTCCAGCTCTCTGGCTTGGGTTGGGAGGCTCCACCCTGCAAGTGCCCAGACGTTTTATAGCAGGAGAGATGGGGGAGGGGTGGGCTCAGAGGGGCTGAGGCTTCTGTGCTGTCAGATTTCAGTTGTGGTGTGAAGCCTACTGTCATGAAAAGGCTGTTCTGGTGACAGGTTTGGGGATGCCCCAGTGTCCCCACCACCCAACCCCTATCAGCTGTTCTCAGTAGAAGCCAGAGCTAAAAGTCGGTGTGTGAGAGTGTGCCTGTCTGTTGACTGTGACAGAGTCGGGAGGAGAGAGGCTGGGTCTGGGCAGTGTGTGTGGTGGTGGCAGGGTGCATGGGGGTGACTGTACGGGTACACAGGGGTGAATCTATAGGGTTGCCTCTGTGTGTTGTGGAGAGTGAAAGTGTTTATATCTGTTAGATCTCTCAGTCTCTCAGTGCAGGATGTGAGTACCCGGAAGGGGGCAGTGGATACCTTGGTGTTAAGGGTTGAGTGTGTGCAGTTGGAACTGTGAGGGTGCGGAGGTGTGAGATGTGTAAATGTGTGTCTGTGTCTGTCACAGTGGTCTGTACATTCCTTCACTCACCAACTCAACAAGCATCTGCTGACTCCGGAATTTGCCAGAGTCTGGCGATCTGGCACAGGGTCCCTACCTTTCTGGTGCTCAGATTCACAGGATGAGACAGACAGTAAGACAAACTGGAAAGCTATCAGGAGGTGGTAAGTACCATCCAGAAAATAAAAGAAGATAATGGGATAGCGCCTAGCTGGGGTGGGAGCTACTTTAGCTAAGTGGTCAGGAAGGCTTGTCCAATGAGGTGACATTTAATGACATGAAAAGTACCCAGCCCTGCAAACAAATGGGGGAGAATTCTGAGGCAAGGCCATAGCAAATCAGGAGGAGTGGGCCTCGTTCAATGGACACAAGACCGCCAGCGACTCTGGAGCATAGCGGACATGGGGAAGAGGACCACAGGTGAGAGCTAAGAGGAAGGGTGGAGCCAGGTAATCTGGGGCCTCACAGGCCATGATAAGGCTTCGAGTAGTATTTAAGTTGCAGTGGAAACCATTGTGAGAAGTAAAATGCTTTGTGGTTATAGATCAGTATGGCTTTTGGCTGGAGAACAGATTGGGTTGGGGGAGCGGTGGGGAGGAGTGGAAGCAGAGAAACCAGTCAGCTGTCCAGGTGAGAGATGGCATCATTTTGGACTAAGCTGGAAGCAGTGGAAATGGTGAGAAGTGGTCAGATCCAGCATCTACTTGGGAGGTAGAGCTGAGGACTAGCTGAGGGACTGGGTGCCAGTGTAGGTGGGAAGGCAGGGAGTAATCAGAGATGATTTGGGGCCTGAGAAGCAAGAAAGGTGCAGTTTCCCTGAAGAGATGGGAAGAGCAGGGAGCAGGTTTGGAGAGATGGGGGGATCAGTGCTTGTGCCGTCAGAGATGATTTGGGGCCTGAGAAGCAAGAAAGGTGCGGTTTCCCTGAAGAGATGGGAAGAGGGAGCAGGTTTGGAGAGATGGGGGGATCAGTGCTTATGCCAGGCCATGGCCCTTGGGTGTAGGAGTCTGGAGCTCAGGGAGAAGTCAGAGCAGGAGATAAAAATTTGAGAGTCAGCTGCATACAGATGGCATTTAAAGTCTGGTTGAGCTCACAAAGGGAGAGAAGGCAGGTAGAGGAAAAAAAAGGAGCCTGAGAGCTCTGGGCCCTTCTGCACTGCAGCCCACATAGAAGAGGAGGAAGCAGCAACTGTGACAGAGTCAAGCCAGTGCAGGGGGAGCCAACCCTGGAGAGAACAGGAGTGGGCCCAGCAGGGAGTCAGCTGAGAGGTTGTCAGTGACCACGACCAGAGTGGCTTCGGAGGAGTGACGGAGACAGATGTCTGACTGGAGAGGACTGAGGGGTGGACGGTGATGACAACTGGAGGCAGGACACAGACCACAGAGCCCCAAGATGATGGTGTGTAGGCAGACACGATTGCACGTGCACGTGTGTGTGTGTGTGTGTGTGTGCTTATGTGCTTCTCTGGATGTGTGTGAATGCACCTTGTGAAGGGGGTCTGTCTGTGTCTCAGATAGGCATAGACCCACAGGTATGTGTGTCCAGAGGGTTTGCTCCCAGGTGTCTGCAGATGGGTATACCTTTGCCACAGGAGGTGCAGCAAGCCCGAGGGCTTAGGGAAATTTTCCAGGGCTCCCCCAAGGCCTTGGGGTCCAGCCTTCACTTATCCCTGTGCTGGCAGGAGAGGAGCCATGTGGAAGGGCCAGCCAGTAGGTGCGGGTGGGGCAGGTGGAGTGTCTAGGCTGTATGCCTTGACTGGCTGGTACTGTCACCTTTTTCCTTTCCTTCCTCCTGCTTTCTCTGTTCTAGAAGGGTAGAGGGCACTCCACCAAGGAGTGGGAGGTGGAGGAGCTAGTCGGGTCTGTCTGCGGCCTAGCCTAGCTCAGCCCCTCAGAAAGGCTGGGACTGTACCTGGAGCCGAGGACTGTCCTGAAGCACAGGGCTGTGCTGCCCCTGGTGGCCTTCTCACAGCCACAGGTGGGGAGGGCCGGCACGGGCAGGGCTGCAACCCTGACCTGGCTGCAAGGGTGAACAAAGGCCTTTCCCCGTGGACCTGGTCTGCTCTGTCCAGCCTCTGGGTCAGAGGTCCTATCACCAGCCCAGAACAAACCACTTTCCATCTTCTTAGAGAAGCTGCTGTAGCAGGCCAGGCCTCTGCCCAGAGTTGCCATGTTTGCCACCATTAAAAACAGCTTCCCCAGCCCATCAAGGTCCTTTGCCGCCCCTAGGCCATAATGGGACAGGGCAGGGTTGTTGGCCAAGCTGGGTTGCCCTCCTCTATGGCCTTGGGACTTCGCCTCCATCCCCTCATCCTCCTGCATTTTCCACTCACGTGCCTCGGGCAGGGTGTGGGGTTTGGGAAGGTGAATATGGGCATAGTCACTGTGCCCAGATCCACGGGTGGGTGGAGTTCCAGGGAGCAGAAGGCAATGGAGGGGGGGGGGGGGGGGGGGCGGGGAAGAAGGAGATAAAAGGAGACTGCTGGGGAGGGACAGGATCTGGGCAGGACCTGAGCTGGAGAGAGCACAGGCTTTGGGGGCAGGGGGTGCCTGCGCCACTGTCACCACAGGTCCACCTCCTGCCCGGCTCCCTCACATCCCCTGCCTCTGCAGAAGCTGAGGAGCTGTACCAGAAGAGGGTCCTGACTATCACTGGCATCTGCGTGGCTCTGCTTGTTGTGGGCATCGTCTGCGTGGTCGCCTACTGCAAGACCAAGTGAGTGTCGGGCACTGAGCCGGGGCAGGCCAAGCCGGGCTGGGCTCACAGACAGCTTTGTGAGGCCAGGCTCTTCTCCCCACCACCCATGGTGCCTGGCCTACCCCACTCACCTTCATACCCCAACTGCCCTCTGCAGTTCCTGTGGGGCCAAAGGGCTAGGCCAAGAGGCAGGAACAGAGATGGGGGAGACAGGCCTCAGAGGACTGAACAGGAATGGTCATGAGCACAGGCATTATAAGAAGATGGATCCGGGTTTGAATCCAGCTCTGCCATTTCCCATGTGACCCTGAGCAAATTGATGAATCTGAGTCCTCCTCTATAAAATGGCAATGATCCTCCTATGTACCTCAGAGGATGCTATGAGGGAGCATCTGCCCTGTCACATAGGCACACATTAGGCAGTTTTGGGGGGTGGGGAAGTGCAGAGAGGAAGGGTACATTCCCAAGGTAAAAAGAGATCTCACAAGGCAGTGCCTGGTCCCACCTGGGACCAGTCCAGGCAAGAACACAGAGAAAGTTGGGTTGGGCCACCCCCGGGCAGAGGAAAGGTGGGGGAAGAACCTCAGGGCAAGGGGAAGAAAAGAGCAGCTCCAGTAGTCAGTGCAAGCTAAAAGGCAAATGCAGGAGAGGGTCAGCTATGTTCCTGGAGCATATGCGGGGACTAGCAACTAGCAACCAGACCAATTGGTGCAAAGGACTGGGGTCAAGATAAAACAGCTGGAACCCAGATGGCACCATAGGGCCTTGAATGCCAATCTAGGGAGGCGGATTTACCCTGCAGGTAATGGGGGGCCAACAAAAGTTGTAGAGTAATGTAATGCAGAAAAATGATAGGTCTGTTACATTCTTATCTGGAGAGCAAGAGTCTGGGCATAGCCACCATTTGGGGGACTGAGCCCCTGGGTCCTGGACCCGGCTACCCTTATATGGGATCTAAGACCCACCCAGCCTTGTGCTGGATGAGTCCAGGACCAGAAAGGTCAGAGGGAGGCATGGAGGGAGTTAGGGGGCTCAGGGAGGGAAGACTGGGCCCAAATAGGAAAATTGGGGCCACAAATTGGGGGGAAAGCAAGCTTCCTGTTCTAACCCCATTGCGCTTCCTCATCTTCTCAAGAAACTTTTATTCAATACTTTGTAGACACCAGGCCCTGCACCAGGAACATGGCCCGTGCCCTAAGCACGAGGTCCAGTGTCACAGGACACATTTCAGGAGGACCTAAACTCAACTGGAGGGCAGGAGGTTTCCCTGGAGGAGCACTTAGGCCAGGCCTGAGAGATGAGCAGGAGTTAGCAGGTGAAGGGAAAGGGAATGTGCTCCTGTTGGATATAATAATATGTGCAAAGGCCCAGAGGCCAGAGAGGGCAGGCATAGTGGAGGATCAGAAACAAGCCCCAAGGTTGCAGCAAGCTGGGGTGGGAAGTGGCCAGTGAGACAGAGCTGGGGAGAGAAACGGGACCTGAGGGCCAAGGAAGGGTTTTAAACAGGGGAGTGACATGACTAGACTGGTTGATTATAATACAAATGTAATGAGCACTTACTATATACCAAAGTGAAGTAGCCCCCCAGGCCGGCATCAACTCCCTGACCACAGCACTCTTATTTTCTTCAGAACACTTTGCTGAAAGTATCGTGTTCATGTCTTTGTTTATATGTTTATCATTGGCCTGCCCTCCTGATCTGCAAGCTCTATGAGGGCAGGGACCGTGTCTGTCTCCTCTGCTCCAAAATAGCATCTGGCACATAGTAAAAAGCCAATAAATCTAAATGAATTAATGCATGGGTGAGTGGGCCACCGCTGTGCTTGAAGATTTTATCTACTCTTAATCCTCAGGGGTACTTGGGATGGGTAAATGATCACCCCATGTTACAGATGAGGAAAGTGAAACATGGAGAATTTAAGTAACTTGCCCAGGTTTACACAGCTAGAAAGTAGTGGAGTTCTACTCTCTCAGCAGAGCCAAAACTCATTACCACTACACTCAGGTCCTGCTGAATTCAGGCTGGTGGTGATGGTGTAGGGGACAAATTGGAGGGCCCTGGCTGAGGGCAGCCTGAGCAGGGCAGGAGCAGGAGACTTGTCTCACTGGAGGGGCAGTGAGGGGAGTTCACGCATTGTGTGGGGGCATGCCAGGCCAACGCAACCTCCCCTGTGCAGAAAACAGCGGAAGCAGGTGCACAACCACCTCCGGCAGAACATGTGTCCAGCCCATCAGAACCGGAGCCTGGCGAATGGACCCAGTCACCCCCGGCTGGACCCTGAGGAGATCCAGATGGCAGATGTGAGTGGTATTCCCAGGTCTCCCTCTGAGCCCTCACTGTACAGCCAGCCTTCTGGTGCCCCTAAAGGATGAGCCAGGACAGCAGCCAGCCCCTCCCATGCTCAGCCTTGCTTACTAGCCTCATCTTGCCCCACCAGGCTGACTGGCCTCACTTTGCCCACTTCTTTAAGAAAAGACAGGCAGGGGTTGATTTGCAGGGGCCATTGCTGCCCTAACACCGACTCACTGATCCAGTGAACAAGCCCCCTCCCCCAAACCTGGAGTTTAGTACCTCACTTCCCCATTCCCACCAGAAAGGAGGGCCAACTTGGCCACCTGTCACTAATTCCTGCCCAACTCTCTGTTCCAGTATATCTCCAAGAACGTGCCAGCGACAGACCACGTCATCCGAAGGGAAACCGAGACCACCTTCTCCGGGAGCCACTCCTGTTCTCCGTCTCACCACTGCTCCACAGCCACACCCACTTCCAGCCACAGGTGGGCACCGCCAAGGTCCCCACAGAGACGTGTAGACTCCTGTACCTGCACCCACAGAGAGCAGACACATGCATCACACACCTGCCTGGGACACACAGAAATCCCAGCCAGGCTCTGTATTGAGGGTCCCTCTGAGTGGGGGTGGGGGCTCCAAATCAGAACCCACAGCCAACGTTCATCCAGATGTTCAGGGGACCAGATTCCCTTTTCCTAAACCAGCCCCAGAGGAACAACGGCATCGCTGCACTCTCACCTAACATTTAGTTTTGTTTGGGCCTCATTAGCACCACTTTCTCTGGCATAAAGTGGCAACTCACTCAACTGCCCAGAGCTATTTAATGCCCTCTCCTGGGTTTGCCCACAGGACCCTAGTCCACCTTAGCCTCCTTCTGTCCAGAGGTGGGAGAGACTGTCCACACAAGCACAAAGGCTCACACAGCTCAGAAATAACATGGCCCTTTTCTTCCCTGGGCACCAGCATGGCATAGGCAGGCTCCCTTGTACTGGCCACTGGGGCTGAGCTCCTGAGATTGGTCCATGGGAGTGGAAGGTGGGGGTGGGGGGTTGCAGGGAGGAAAGGAAGAGGCCTGTGCATGCTGCAGCTCATCCATCCACAGGACCCAGCCCTCCTCCTCCCTATGCTGGGGTGGGGCATTTGTGATACTACACATCACCTCCCGAGTGGAGAAGGGCAGTGAGCTAGGGGAGCCTGAGATGGAATGAAGAACCAGGGAGGGGATGGTTCTGCTGTGCTGCCTTGTCCCTTCCTGACCCCCACCTAACTCCATCCTGGCTTCTTCAGGCATGAGAGCCACACATGGAGCCTGGAACGTTCTGAGAGCCTGACCTCCGACTCCCAGTCAGGCATCATGCTGTCATCAGTGGGTACCAGCAAGTGCAACAGCCCAGCATGCGTGGAGGCCCGAGCACGGCGGGCAGCAGCCTACAGCCTGGAAGAGCAGCGCAGGGCCACTGTGCCTCCTTACCATGACTCCATAGACTCCCTGCGTGACTCTCCACACAGCGAGAGGTCAGTTCCTACCTCGTGACCTATGCCCACCTTGGCCAGAGAGCTGGCACCACTGACCAGGGCTGACCCTTACAGCACCTCAGAGACATTCCAAAGAGCTTCATCCCCAGTTTTTCATCTGCTCAGTTTCATCACCATGTTAATGACAAACTAGGTCTAGAGCTGGGCCAGTGAACCCTGGTGTGCAGTGACCATCGAATTTAATTGTCCTACTAGGACCCTTTTCAGAGTAGAAGAGGGAGTTATTAATAATTGCACTGCAACATCAGGAACAAACAGGAATGATCCTGAACAAACCAGAACATATGATTGCCTTACCCTGGTATTACTTAGAGGCCCTGTGTCTCAGCAGGAATAGAAAGACACTAAGATTGAGCAGAATGGAGGATGGGAGGGGAGGTTGTCTGTGAAGAGACTGACCAGTGCAGGATGGGCATGAGCCAAGAATGACCACAGGCCTGGGCAGTACCAACAAGGCCCCGTGGATCATGACATCATTGGGTTCCTGAGCATTGGATGCAGTGAGGACCAGGAAACTCCTTTCTCCCTGATTCCAAGTCAGAAGTCACAGGGGCCAGCCCCCTTCTTGCTCAGCCCTCAAGTGGCCCTTGGCAAGTGGGGTCAGTGGCAGGAGAGCAGAACTACAGGCTGGAGTGGAGGGAGAGGAGCAGATGTTCTCCTACTCTCAATTCAGCCTACTCCAGGCTGTCCCTGTGCTGGGCAGGTCTGCCTGGGGGTCCACATAGTGGGGATCCACATGGTTCTTGCTCCCGAGGAGCTCCAAGCCACAGGCACAAACCGCTGAAGCTCACAGCTGCCTATGGAAAGTGCGAAGCACAGGACACCCAATCAGGGCAGAGAAATCCAGTGTGACTGCAGGCTCTGGGAAGCAGTCAGGTTCTCCAAGACCCAGCTCCACCACCTGTGTGATTTGGGGCAGGTTGCTCACCACTGTGCCTTTGTTTCCTCAGCTGTAGAACAGGAACATCATCATGGTTGTGACGGCCACCAGAGATCCCATGCACAGAGCTCTTTGCCTCCTACCTGGCATGGAGCTGGTACTCCCTAGGTGTAGCTGTTGTTATCAATAGCAATAGGACTGCTTAATCGTTGAGAGGTAGTATAATGGGGAAAGCTGCCAGGCAAAGGGAACAGCTTGAGCTGTTCTAGCAGAGGCGCTTCAGAACATGGCTGGTGAGTGAGGTACTTGGAGCAGAGTGAGCTGTGGAGAGAGAGCTGGGCCTGAATAGGCAGCTGGAGCCAGATGGATAGCTGATGGCCCTGGGCTTCTGCTTAGAGGTGGCCTTGGATGGGTAAGCAGCCTACAGCCTGAGTGGGGGTGGGGACTCCAAATCACAACCCATAGGGTGAAGCAGGGAGGAAGGTGGCTCCAGGAGAGGGGTGAATGAGTACAACTTGGTGGTTATTTGGATGTGCATATGGGAGAGGGAAGAGAGGGGAATCAGGTGATTGAGAAAGAGTAATGGGGACTCCAGAGAGCAGTGAGGTGCCAGCTCTACAGTTTGGAAGAGAGGCATGGAGGTATGCGGTCCCTATACTGAGGTGGACAAATGTTGAGCAAGAGGCTAATGGACTTCAGCAAGGGGGGTGTGGACAAAGAAAAGGGAGAAGTGTCCGGGATCCAGACTGGGAGATATTAGCAAGGGCCAACTTTTGGAGGAACTGGTATTCTTTAGCCCCAAAGAGAGACTCTGGTAGGATCTTGGTAGCTGTCAGTCCTGGGCTGAGGATCCTATCTGAAGTGTGAGCAGTCACTTCCCTGAGGCAGCTTTTAGTTTCAATATAAAAATAATAATTCCCCTACTGAAGCCATTAGCCATGGTATGAATTGTCCCTGCAGGGACAGTGAGTCCAAGTCACAGGGATGACTGAATGGCTTCTACAATTGGGCAGTATGAGTTCTGGTTCCTGCCTAGTCTCTGTTCAAATCCCAGCTCCATCACTTCCTGGCTGTTGAACCTTGAGTGACTTAAAGGTTCTGAGTCTCAGTCTCAGCCTATATAATAAAAGGCTAATATGCAAATCGACCAAATGGCAGAACGACCGGTTGCTACAACGTGCACTGACCACCAGGGGGCAGCCGCTCAGTGCAGAGCTGCCCCCTGGTGGTCAGTGGGAGTGCCACTCAGCCAGAAATCAGGCTGACAGCTGTCACCAGTGGTGGTGGGAGCCTCTCCTGCCTTGGTGGCAGTGCTAAGGATGTCTGACTGAGGGCTTAGGCCCACTCCCCTCAGTCGGACATCCCCCACAGGGCTACCGGACTGCAAGAGGGCACCGGCGGGGCTGAGGGACACACACACACACACACACCCCAGTGCACAAGTTTCATGCGCCGGGCCTCTAGTATGTTACATGGGACAGGGTCCTATAGAGTTAATGTACTATATGAGATCATACATGTCAAATGCCCTAGCCTGAGCCTGACCCAAAGTAACACAGGACCATTCACGGGCAGACACTGGACTATAACATCCCGTTGATACATTTATGGACCCGTGGTTATCCTCGCTTAAGAGATAAAGAAACAGGCTGGGAAAGGTTAAGGAAATTGCTTAAAGTCACTAACGATTAGCACCTTAGTTTTGCAGGTGTGCGTGGTCTCCGGACAGACCTTTGCTTTTCAAAGGTTCCGCCCAGGCCCACGCCTCTTCCTCTCCCCGCAGGTACGTGTCGGCCCTGACCACGCCCGCGCGCCTCTCTCCGGTGGACTTCCACTACTCGCTGGCCACGCAGGTGCCGACTTTCGAGATCACATCCCCCAACTCGGCGCACGCCGTGTCGCTGCCGCCAGCCGCGCCCATCAGCTACCGCCTGGCGGA